CTTGGCGATGTTGTTAATCAATTCTTGAATCAAGACAGTCTTGCCGACACCGGCACCACCGAAAAGACCAATCTTACCACCACGAGCGTAGGGGGCAAGAAGATCGACGACCTTGATACCAGTCTCGAGAATTTCGGGAGTGGGAGATTGGTCAACGAATTCGGGAGCCTCAGCGTGAATGGGGAGGAACTTCTTGGCCTTGATGGGACCACGCTCATCGATGGGCTCACCAATGACGTTGATGATACGGCCAAGGACTTCCTTACCGACGGGAATGGTGATGGGAGCACCAGTGTCAACGACCTTTTGGCCACGGACAAGACCTGAAATGAAAAGTAGAGGAGATGATGAGCACTGGCTTTTCAAACTAATTAATTAGTTCGCGCGTGGTTACCCCAAGTTACTTACCCTCAGTACCGTCCATAGCAATGGTACGGACAGTGTTCTCACCAAGATGCTGAGCAACTTCGAGGACGAGACGGCCACCAGCGCTGTCTTGAACTTCGAGAGCGTTCAAGATAGCGGGAAGAGTATCTTGCTCAAACTGAACATCAACGACGGCACCAATGACGGAACTATTGAATGGACGTGATGAGTCGGTTGCACTGCATATAAGTAGGAAATGTTAATAACAATAACACTTACCGAATCTCACCAGTGGAGTGGGTCTCGGTGGCATAGTTGCGAACTGCAAGTTAAAAAAAATAAATTGGAATGTCAGCATTGTCCTGACAATGGGTAAATGTGTAACTTGGTGGCAAATTGGTTTTAGTTCGTACCCTTCAAAGAGGTTTGGACACCGAGGGGCTTAGCAACAGCCTTGGCGAGGAAGTTGTAGTTGGCGCGTTGAACGCGGAGGGCGTTGAAAGACGACTTTCCAACGGCACGAGAGATGAAAGACATATCGTCAGAGAGAGAAGGAAATTCCACGGACAAGCCAAAGACAGGGTCGAACAAAACAATCCTGTTGTTGACGTCACGCAAATTTTCGCTTCCCTCCTTTCTCCAGTCACGTCTGGATGGAAAGCAAGCCACCCAATGAAAACCTCTCAGACTCAGCTCAGCTGCGACACTACTAGCAACACCTCTCTATTCTTATGCCGCCAAAACGAAAAGCTGCCAAGGCTACCAAAAAGGTGTCCGAAGAAGTACAGGATGCAGCACCAATAGAGAAAAAGGCCCGCGTCGAGGAGGATCCTCAGGATGAAGCCGTTGCAAATACAGTTGACGATACACCAGCGGAACCATCCGTAGACCAGTCCGATTCCAATGCAGATCAACCGGCTTCTTCGGCCATGGCTGCACGATTTAAAAAGTTGCAAGAACTTAAGCGACGAAGGGTAAGCGGCTTGTCCTTTATGAGGGACTACCTCTAGTTTACTGGTAATTAACTTGTATTGATTACTTTCCAGGCAACCGAAGTAGAGGAGGGTAATCGCCGTGACAGAAACTTAGAATTTCAACGCAGCAAAGAAAATCCTCGACTTGAAAAGCGATCTGAACGTAAAAGAGAGGAAGCACAGAAACTTTTGGAGAAGCAGGTTAGTAGCTCAAGCTCCAGATTTTCGCGTTGAAGCAGGACGACAATAGCTAACTGGGTATATGTGATTAGGAAGCGCAAGAGCGAGGAGAAGATTACGAACGAAAACAGTTTTGGAAGTACTCTGCGGAAAGTGTGGATGCATGGGGGAGAAAGACTGCCAAGAAGGCTAAGAATGCTGAAACTGGCTTTGCCGGTAAGTTATCAAGATCCGTTGGCAAGTACAATAACCGCACGCCCTACTGAACTTTCTTGTTTTCAATGACTCAGATTACACACAAGCTGCACACAAAAAGTATAAAAAACTGATAGCAGAACTCAAACCTGATATGGCGGCATACTACGAGAAGAAAGCAGAGGCATTTGAGAGAGCACTTCGAAATGGGGAAGACTTGTCGGAAGATAGCTTCTTCAACCGGGACGCAAATAATTTGGACTATGCTACAATCGACACGCAACCACAAAAGGAGGCTATAGACCGACTTGTTGCAGACGTTGATAAACAGTAAGTGGACATTTCAGTAGTATAGCGACGGTGTGGCTCTATGCATGATTCTGTCACATTCGAGCAAGACTAACACATTACATATTAGACAACGTAAACGTATGACTAGATCGCGTGATCGTGAACAGATTGCCGATGATATCTCATGGATTAACGAGAAGAATCGCAAGTTCAACCAAAAGATTTCCAGGTTCTACGACAAATACACAAAGGAAATCCGAGAGAATTTGGAAAGAGGTACAGCTTTATAAACACCATTCAGTTCATACAACTCCTTACTACTTTAGCACCTGCCTTGTACTTCTTTTCTCCTTCCTCTGCCTTTGCATTTTTACATAATACACACTGTGCCATTTTTCACACCAATCGGTGCCATTCAGTATGAAGATTCCCAGGGCATGAAGTTACAATATAAATATGATGATAAAAGAAAGGATATAAGGATGGATGATTTCATTTTGATTACGTATACATATTTCTACACTATGTTTACACATCTTTCTTTTCCATTCTATTACACTGCTTGCAAATCCTTAAAGGTGCATTAAAGATTTTGGAAAGCCTTTGCGATTTGCACTACTCTGGCAGCTTTAGCCACGCGACCCCAGTTATGTTGGGCATTTTCACGGCGACGGCGACTAAGCTCTCTTTGGCGAACACGGGCACGACGACCAGGAGTTGGCCATAATTTGGCAGTGAGCTCAAAGCTCCATGACCTGAGAATCCAAACCTTGACAAAGTCCAGCAGCATAAAGGTTACAAGACTGATGCCCAATATCGCCAAGCCCCAGGCCCAGCTGATGGCTCCAACATTGACGCTTTCTCCAAACACGCCAAATATCGAAAATATAAGGGCAATAACCTGTGTACCGAGAATAACCGCTGTGAAGACGATGGAAGGTCTATTGCGCCACCAGTAATCTGCTATTCTTGTAGAGAAGATCACAAAGTGTGGAGCTACATCAAAATAAATCAATACTTGCATTTATGCTTACACATCATTGTAATCCTGGTTAAAGTGTATGCCATCTCACCTGAAGATATGTGTAGATACATGATGGTTGAAAGTTGCTGGCTGGTAACTTGCATTACGTCTCTGGCAATGTAAAAGTGGCCAAAGGAGAACAATGAGAGGATGGAGGCAAGCACACATGATAAGAAGATAAGCTGGCCCAATCTCCATTTGTCCGGTTGTGGCGATATAACAGCATTATCAACAGCTATGACAAGGGTTGCAGCATCGTTCAAGACACAGATAAGAATGAGCAAGATGGCAGGCATTTGCCAATCCTCTGCGATGGTGATGATAAAAAAAAATATGAGGAAGTGGATAGTGGATGTAATTCTGTACAAGGCGTAGGATCTCAGTCGTTGGAAAATAGCTCTGGAGGTCTTGATACCGTCGATAATGGTCGACAATCCAGGGGCAAGTAAAACAATATCGGCCGCTGATCGCGCGGCATCGGTACAACCTTGAACAGCTATACCAACATTGGCCTTTTTGAGAGCGGGTGCGTCATTGACACCATCACCAGTCATGGCTACTAAGAGTCCTCTGGATTGCAATAATTCGACTACTCGATACTTGTGTTCAGGGATAACTTCTGCGAATCCATCAGCGCGAATACAATTTTCGACTAACTCTTCTTCTGATTTTGCATTATCCACCAAATGATTGGCATCCAGAATGACTCTTCCAAGACCAAGCCGTCCAGCAACTTCTTTGGCGATGATAGTTTGATCGCCAGTAATCATTTTAACCGAAACTCCATGTCGTAAACATTCTGCAATGGTGTCGGCAGAGTCGGGTCGAGGTGGATCTAACAGTGATATTAAGCCAACCATTTTCCATTCCGATGTTCCAGGCAGAGTACGTGCGACGCCTAAAGCTCGAAGCCCTCTTGTGGCAAATCGAGCAATAGCATCTTCATAAGCAGCATTATCTCCATCGACTAAGCCAATAATGACTTGCGGTGCACCTTTACAAACTTGATATGAAGTATGCAAATCCAAATTGGTTACAGTAGCTTGTGTCATCTTGGACGAAGGATTAAAAGGAATAAAATTGGTAATCTTGTAACCAGGAACCCCGTGGTGACTACCAGGGTTGGCTTTCAGAGCAGGGACGGTGCTTTCTGCAGCTTCACGGACGGCCTTTTCAATCGGGTCGTTGGTTCCGGGCTCCGATGCAAGATAAGCGTCCAATAGCAAGCTGTCAGTTGTCTCTCCGGGCGAAAGGTAAGGCTCATCAAATGTGAGCTCATTGAGCGTGAGAGTACCGGTTTTGTCAGAGCAGAGAACGGAAACAGAAGCGAACTCTTCTACTGCCGTTAATCGCTTTACAATAACTTGTCGCGAGGCCAATTGCTTGGCACCAACAGCCATAGTCACGGACATGACGGTGGGCAACCCGACAGGAATACTATGCAAAAGGTTCGATGACACCGTTAGTAAAAGAAAATAGCTTCTCTTTAGGTTGTAAAGGTTTTTTCTTACGCTGCCACTGTCAAAACGATTATTTCTTCCAAAGTATTCAAGATATCTTGACCAGTAACGGTCCCGGTTCTTATTTTGGTATCCACAACGTCAACAATGAAAATGATGAGCACAAGGATGATGGTCAAGAAGATGAGAAAGTTTCCTATTTGGCCAATGATTTGTTGAAAGTGACCAGATTCGGTGGTGATAGAAATCAAGCTTGCTGCACGTCCAATAAAGGTATTGGCTCCCGTCTTGGTGACAACTGCAAGCTGTTGACCTTGTTTGATGATAGAACTCGAGTATACGCTGTCTCCTGCTCCCTTATCTGCTGGTAACGATTCACCAGTCAACGAACTTTGGTCGACTTGAAGGTTGAGACTGGTTGGCTCTCCGGTAGCATCAATTCCAAGCAAACGAGCATCAGCTGGAACAATATCACCAAGTCTCATAACGATAACATCACCAGGAACCAAATCTCTTGCATCGACCTCAATTAATTGACCACCCCGTATACATCTAGTATGAAGTGCTAGCGTGCTTTTGAGGGCATCCAAAGCCGATTCTGCTTTTGCCTCTTCACTGAAACCGATGATCGCGTTGATAATAAGTAGTCCCAGTAGAATGCCAAAGTTAACCCAGTCTCTCGTAACTGCAGTTAAAATGATACTGATCTCTATAAGATATGCAATAGTCCCCATAACTATAGATAGAAGTTAGGCTTTGGTGATACGAGGATAAGCGCCTGCCAAGGACAGATCAAACTTACAAAAGGACAAGAAGTGCAAAAATCTATTACGCTTCTTTTCTATGATTTCGTTCCTTCCAAATTGCTTTTGTCTCTCTAGCACAGCTTGATAGTCCAATCCTTGTCTCGGGTCAGTCTGAAGTAGTCGCTCGAGGTCGGGCGGGATATCGTCCGGGGACTGGATATTTGAGTTCGTTCGCGATGGAGGTGTAGTTGGAGTTGTGAGGGTCAAAGGGGTGTATTCTTCATCACGAGGTGTAATGAAGAATGAATTCATCTCATCCGCCTCCGAAAGTTGCTTGTAGGACATCATGGCGAATGACAAAGGAAAGCCAAGCAAAACGAGAAGCGACCTGCACAGGCACAGCCCGGAGCAGCAAAAATTACTGACCCGGCCCTGAACGTGACTGTATTCGCTGCTTCGGGATTGGCAGACGCCTCAGTGCCACAGCCTCAACAACTTTAAAAAGGGGATTTTGGTGTTTACGAAAGATTTATTTTTAAAAACAAAGATATATTTGCGACCATCTGGCGTTTCAAACCTTCAATGCCTTTGGAAATTTGAGTCATAAAACAACTTTAGAAGCACTAGAACGTTAACATCAAACACCGTTTGCAAAAATTTCCTTGCTATCATTTTGCTCGAATTACGCTGTGTAAGTCATGGCAAACTCTTTGCGTATGAGTAGCAGCAAGCTTGATAACAATAAAATACTCATTATTACCAAAACAAGGAGAAAGTGTACGGTCTACCCTTACAGATCGAATTTATGGTATAGCTAAAGGATAAATATGCCTAATGGGCTTGTTGTGCCATATGCTCAAACATGCCAATGCAACGGAAGTTATACTTGACTGCTGACATGAGATTCTCGCCGCAGAATGTCGAATTCATGCCGTTTATTCAATTAGAAACAGATTGGAAGCACACACATCCATCCCTGTTTGCTCTATGGAAACCACAACCTATATTTGCATTGTTTCATCTCATCTATAATTTTTAGGTCACTCACAACTACACCGTCCCAATCGTTGCAGGCTCATAAAGCTTTAACACCAGCTTACTCTACACCAAGTAAAGGCGAGTAAATGAAATAACGTTTGGTATGGCCAATTTCATTGTGGTTTATTGCCTTTGTAGCGGCCAATGTTTGATACAAAGCTTTCTTGTTCATGGAAATATCGCATGATTAGCTAAGCATCACAAGAATGTTGTAATTCTTTTTGGGGGTGGTCTGTTTAGACTCTTGCCTGAGAGCTTATTTTGAATAGCATAGTTTGCGACGTATCGTTTGATTTGTTTGATTGGTTGTAAATGGCTGCCAATTGATCTTGTATTAAGTTGAATACATGGTGCTTATTTCTTTGGAGGCATTAGTTACCTCAGTGTAGCGACCAAGGATTTCATATAGGTTGGCTTCACGAATTATATAATCAAGCCACAGAAATATAGAATTAGCGAGAATAACTATGGTTCGGTATGGTCCTTTTTTGGTATGACAGTGAGTGTTGTAATCACAAAGTAACGATGCCAATGCCAAGGGCCAAGTTGTCGGCGGCGATTAAAATGTAGCCGAGCATGTTGGCATAGGCGCCAGTACTGTGCACTTGGCGGACGAGAACCACTATATAATGGCTATAGCCATCTACCTTTGAGATAGCATTCCATCCATCGAAAACAAATCTTATTCACTTAAAAGCAACATGCCTTTCTTCAAGCACTCTTCAAAATCCTCTGCAAGCTCTACATCAGTTGGTTCTGCCTCTTCCACCAAGACTGCAAGCACAACGCAAGCAAAGAAAATCGCTCCTCATGTCTTGTTTCCCACTTACCCGATGCAACACAGCCAAATCAATCGCATGTAATGCCAATGAAAAATTCCAAAAGCGGCCCTCCTCTCAGCCTTTATGTATTTTAGAAAGATGTACAATATCCCCAATAAAATAATCAACATATGAATCATATCACACTTCAGGCACCAACTCGTTGCTTGGTAATGCTTTTATACTTTATTATATGATACGTTCTCAGTTATATAACTCTTTTCTGCTATTTCATATCACGTAGCCATAATGAAAGGTGACTGCATCTATTGGAAAAGATGATCTCTAAAGTATGTGGTGTTGTTTTTGCAACCCATGCACAAGAGAATTCAAACTATTATATGAACATGTCACTGTTCATATCAACCCCATCTAGCGGTCATCGGGCTGCTGAAGCAAATAATCAATTAACTTTTAACTCGCAAAAACAAGTAGAGACCAACTTTGTAATGGCCACATCACTTTTTCATGTATTTGCAGTTGGTGTGGTCAGCGCCAAAGACTACCAAAGCGGTGCAAATTATACGTTCAATAAAGGGTAAAGAAAATCGCAAAAATTTATTACAACTGTAATTTTAAATGAAGCTTTGTCTTTTCTTTTGCTTTTTCACAGCTTGAAAGGCGGGAGCATCATGAATTTGACAGTTATCCTCCTGTTACCTGGCCCATAGCAAGGTCGCTCGCCGTGAAGTTTTCATACTCCGCCTTCCGGAGCTGAAAATTCAAAGAGGTTCATGCAAACTATGCACACCTGTTGACCATCATGCTTTACTCCATGGTGAGGTCATTGCGGGCCTTAAATGCTAAAATAAAACATCTATAACAAACCGTTTATCCATCCTCAAAGTCATATCGGTAGGCTAATATAGGGGAGGAGGAAGCTCGAGGACTTAAACTTTTTAAAAATTGTTTTTAAAGGTGCTACCAAGTTACCCTCTCAGGTACACACTATACAAGGCCCTACAAACCGCCAAAACCGCTTCCTCCTCCCGAAAAAAGGCTCAAAACCACCCTTCACTGCATGAGCTTTCCAGAGAATGAGTCAAGCCTACCACTTCATTCAACTTATTTTGGTCACAACCCCCTCAATAACGGCCATCTCAAGTGGACCCTGAACATCACACAAAACCACAAATCAGGGCTATGCAAGGATTTTCCGGTCAACTTTTACGTTCATACCCCCCAAGAACAGAGCAAAGTTGCCAAGGCCACCCATTATTCAAAGGCATACATCGTGAAATTTCGATGCCTACCAAACGTAACTTTCTGGTCGACTTTCCACGTTCACATCCCCAAGAACAAAAGTAAGTTATTAAGAAAGTTCTTTCATTATAGACATATACCGTGAAATCTAACAAACGTCCAAAGTCCATTTCAGAAGCGATATACGTAGCCAACTATCCCAAAATGTCTCTACAAACACCCTAAACCAGAGACCTAACAGTTGGCGAAACACGCGCGCATCTATCAACTAATCATCAATCATTACACAAACATTCAAAATTCTACTTCAGAACTTGTGTATGTGGCAATCAACCAAAAAATGACTCTACAATGACCCCATACAAGAGTCCCAACATTCGGCCAAATCATGCACGTACAATCAAACAAAACACTCAAATACACCAAACAAAAGTTCTATTCAGAAACCGTTAAGCGTAGTCAGTTCCACCAAAACCGTCCCTGCAATTACCTTAAAAACGACTAAACAGCCCACTAAATACGCAAATGTAAACGGTCAAAGATGTATTTCATTACATCAAGTATATGGATTTGCTGATTATATATCGCAATCATCGTAAGATCCTATTAGTCGACTGGACATAGTGTTGATGATCAGCTACTAATACCGTCTTTGGACAATAGATACAAGGCTTGGCTCTTTTCAAAACGGGAGAGAAAAAAATGAAGACGAGAATTGTAATTAGAGTAGAAAACTTAGTATAGAAAGTAGCTAGATAAATAACGATTTAAGAGAAGAAGAGAAAGAAAAAAAAAATGAACAAAAAGATAAAAGAACAAAAGATACAAGAACTAAAGATTAAAAAAAAAAAAAGAACAAAAGACAAAGAGAAAAAAAATTGGATGAGAAAATGTCAGTGATAAAAAAAAAGAAAAGAAGACAAAGAGGGGAGAGTAACAGTTGATGATAAAAAAAAACCAATAGAACAAAATGGGAGAGTAAACTGATGGCGAAAAAACGAAAGGGAGAGTAAAACGAGAGGCGAAAAACGAAAGAGTAAATTGATGGCGAAAAAATGGGAGAGCAAAACGAGAGGCGAAAAATGGGAGAGTAAAACGAGAGGCGAAAATCGGGAGAGAATCATTGAGCGACGATACCTTCAAACTTTCAATACCATTATTAACAATCAATTCATACTTGTATTATTCAAAGCAAATGCTTTACAAATGAAATGAAAGACCTTTGGTTGCCCCACCTACTTGGTCATACTGATGACTACCGAATTGCCCTATTCACATGGTAGTCATCACAACAACACTACAGGCATTTGCGACACACTTGGCTGGCTTCATACCAGTTAATCATATCATAATGTGTCATTCCAAAGCAAATGCCTTTAAACATGGAATGAGTGACTTTGGTCCCCCAAACCTTGGTCCGCTGTGATGGCTGCCATAATTCCCTCTTCACATGGTAGTCATCACATCATTCAAGTCATTTTGCGAGAGACAGTTGGCTTTTGGTACCGCCTAATCGACATCATATGTGCACACATATAAAATAAAATCATCGACAAGTCAAACCACCACCCCCTTCGACCGTTTGACCCCAC